AGATTCCCACATTTCATTGAGGATATCAAACAAATAGATGTATTTGATAAAGATATTAAAATTGTTAGAGGTTAAGATATCTAAGAAAAAATACCTATAATACCCATAGACATCTGGATCTGTTTCTTTTTTAAAAAAAATTAAAGAATTTCAAATTAAATTAATACTAAGCAATTTATTATCTATTTATTTTATTTAAAGTTATTTTGTTAAAAAATAAAAATAATTTAAATTAATTAAAATAAATTTATTTATTCTATATAAAATTATATATAATATACATATACAAATATAGTTAATATTTTAAATATTTTAAATATATATATTTGATCCATATCCGACTCACCAGATCTATATAATTATTATCTAGTCCGGATTTTTTGGATATCAGTTTCAGATAACGGATAGTAGATATTAATTTCATACCTACATGGAGTCATATATCAATTAATTACGTATCTTGTAATAGAAATCAACTTCAGTTTGAAATTTATTATTAGATTATTAATTAATAACACAAAATTTAAAGTCAACATGTATATAGTGGTAGGTGATGTACTGATGTACAACGTGTCTGTTGTGGAAAAAAAAAAACATTGTGAGCCTCTTTCAAGTATGCAAATATAAGCAAAACTACTCTTAGCGTCTGACTGGTTCTCCCGCCATCACCCGCAAATGCAATTTTTGTGGTTGATAGTGGTTGTTGGCGTTTTGCAACAATCACAAAAAAACGCTATAAACCGCTTCAAATCGCTCTGAAACTCTAAAATTCAAAAGCTGGTTCTAACTAGCGTTTGCGGTTGCGGACGATTGCGGGAGGATAATTTTTTTTTTAAAACTATATAAATATACAAATAAAATATTCATTTAAAATTTTAAATTAAAATAATTGAAATACTGAAATATTTATATTATAAAATTTCCAAAAAATATTTTCTTTAATTTTTTAAAAATTTAATAGTGCATTTTCAATAAATTTTTATATTTATCATGAAAATATGATTTTAATATTTTGATAATTATATAAAATATAAATATTGTTAATTTATTACTTAACCGCTGTTGTATTTGATGATAAACCAGTCATAAGTATCCCGCAAACGCAACAATTTTTAACTGTTGAACCAGTCATATAAATCTCCTATTAACGCTTAAAACCGCAATCTCCCACATCCGCAGACGCCCGCAACCGCAACCGAAATCGCTGCGTTGTAACTAGTCAGACCCTTAATAATCTGAATACATTTTTATTTTCATTAATGACAATATAGTCTTTTGGTTTTTGAGCCTAAAAAATATATAATTTGTATAAACAATATATATTTAATGGATTGTTTAAAACCAAACTGGATTACATATAAAGTCTCCAGCTTTGTTGGTTTAACTACGGGTCCATATTATGTTTTAGAACACTGAATATAACGATTTATGTGTAACATGTAAATGTTGATACATAATCAAAAATACAAATTTATATCATATAGATTTGTTTTGTTTCAAAAATAATCCTGCATGTTGAACCAGCAGCCGAGTCTCAAGTTTTAGCAGGAATTTTGGAGGTTTTATAGAATTTTAAAATAATGAGTTTAAAAAAAACCGGATATATATAAAGTCATCAATTTTGTCGGTTTAACAACGGGTCTAGGTTGTGTTTCATAACACTGAATATAATACTTCATGTGTAATATTTAAATGTCACAGTTAAATGTAAACTAGATTTTGACCCGCGCTTGACAAGCGCGGAATTTTTTTGATTAAAAATTTATATAATTGGGTTTTGTCTTAATTTAAAGAATGTCTTAGTATAAAATTAGTTTACCAAAATTTGTGGTGATAGTTGTTTTTCATTAGTTTTTAGTTTCAATTTTTATTTTTAGATTTTGATTTAAATTTTGGTTTTTGGTTTTTAGTTTACAAGTTTCTATTTTTGATTTTCAGCTTTTGGTTTGAGTTTTTTATTTTTAGACCCGCTGAGTTAGTTTGAACTAATATTACCAACAAACAAATCTCAATTAATCGAACATGTAATTTAAAACTGAAAAGATGACAAAATAATTTTCTAAAATTTTTGAAATAGTTTATTTTGTAAATAAAAAAATAAAAAATATAACCTGCGTTTTCAGCTTTTGGTTTTGGATTTTAGTTTTGGTTTTTGGTTTTGCTTTACATTTTTTTTTTAAATCTGTAAATTATTTAAGAAAAATAAAACAATAAATTATTTGAAAGTTACCATTAAAATTTATCAAGATAGAGTGATTGTTATTTAAAATAAAAAATATTAACATGTTTTAAAGTACATGATTTAAATAAGTGATTAATAATAGATAATTTTGTTTTGTTGAAAATATTAAATATTTTTGGGCTAAAAAATATAAACATGTTTTAAAGTACATGATTGAAATAAGTGATTAATAATAAATAATTTTGTTTTGTTGAAAATATTAAATATTTTTTTGCCTGAAAATAGTAATTGATTTTTGATCCATTAAGGTGGAAAGTTTATTTAATGTTTTTTGGAGTTTTTCTTTAATACTAAGCCAAAAAACCAAACAATTAAATGTCATAAAAACAAAAGTAAGCCCAAAACTCTATTCCATAAATAACCGTCGGTTTAATTTAAGTAATGCGGTTCAATCAACTATATAACTTGTATTATTTGTAACACTCTAGAAATGGTCCAAATTTAAATGACATCTTGTATCAGTAGATAAAAAGAATGACTCTATTTTAATAGAATATATACATATTCAAATATACAAATTTATATCATATAAATTTGATTTCTTTCGAAAATAATCCCGCGTGGGTCAAAATCTAGTTTGAAAGTTAATAATTTCATTGACATTTTTTTTTTCAAATTTAAAATGATAAATTATATAATTATTTTGATCAGGATCCCTGAATATCCCCTATATATTATTTGAGAATCATTTAAAAAATTGTAACCTTAAGTTTGTAAGAATTAAAAATAACCCCAATCCTACGTGGCATAGCTATTTGGCTTCTATTTCAAATTTCAAGGATTCTAGAGCATGTGATATAATGTATAGTTTAAAAATTATATTCTTTAGCAATATAATATTCCGTAGGCTATAGTTGGTCGCATATATCAAATATTTATTGTTTCGCATGCTTTCCTTAAATAAAACCTACGGAATTACCTAATGTGATCAAAATATATATATGAGAATTAATGATTTTAAACATAAAGATTTGATAACAATCTGTATACTTTTTTTTCATTTTGTTTATTTCTTTATTATTAAAATAAATTACAAAATTACATTAATCATATAATTAAAATATAGATTTTTTTGTGTATGTTGTATTTCGAATTTTTCAAAATGAGTATAAATTACTAAAACTGTTAGAAGTCCCACATAAAATTTTAAGATCAAGGTTTTAATTTTTTTTTCTATACTAAAATATAATGATTATAAGACCATATGAAGAAATAATTTTAGTTTATATATATTTAATATCATTTTAATTAAACTATACATCGTATGAAATTACATACTTATATTTTGATATTTGCCTTGAACATATATTGAAAAGTTAATATTTTAANTCAAGGTTTTAATTTTTTTTTCTATACTAAAATATAATGATTATAAGACCATATGAAGAAATAATTTTAGTTTATATATATTTAATATCATTTTAATTAAACTATACATCGTATGAAATTACATACTTATATTTTGATATTTGCCTTGAACATATATTGAAAAGTTAATATTTTAATTTTGAAATATGTCATTGTTTTTATAAAATGATTATAAATTATTGTAACTACTAAACATCTCACATTAAAAAAAAATCATTGGTGTAAAGTTTTGTTACACAAATATGCAAATAATCATAAAATCATATGAGTAGAAACCTCATTTAATAAATATCCATATTAAAAGTGTGTTATATTACTATGTTTATATCATTTAAATTTAACTATATATCATATACAATATATAAGATTTACTATTTTGATTTATTTACCCTTATTGTGAATAAACAAGAGTAATAGTTAAATTTATATGCATACGCCAATTTATTACATAATAGTAACTGATTTCTTAGTTATTTAATATATATTTATTATTTTATTATTTATAATATGCAGAAAATATAAAATAAATAAGAAAAATAAAATACTTATTGTGCATAAAGTACAGATCTTAACCTAAGTATGTATATATTTAATTATTTTAAATCTTAAGTATTTTCTAAAACACTTGAAATGAGAATAAAATTCAAAATAAATATTTATATCGAGTAATAACCAAAATATAAAAAAAAAACATAGCAAGAGAAAAATGGAAGATAAATAGGACTGACACGTGAACGTGAACTTCTCATAACCATAATTAATTTTAAATTGTTAAATCATGATATAAAACTGAGTTAATTTTTAAGTTTTTTAAATCATTATGGTTATGTTAAATCATGACCATAATTAATTTTAAATTGTTTATTTGTATTTGAAAAACTTAAATTATTGTTTTTAAAAATAATTTAAAATTTAACATAATTTTTATAAATTATTTTAAAAAATAATAATTTGTAAAAAATATAATTTTCTAATATTATTAGACAGATAAATAAATTATATTAAATTATTTTTGAAACTTTATATATTTTAAATGCAAATATTTTACCAGTTGCTAATACTCTACCAATCAAGCCCAGTGACACTCCATTTATTTTCCATCACTCGAACATTTAAAAGTGAATATATGAAATCAGATCCATTAAATTCTAAGATTTGATGTACATTTCTAACTAAAATTGTTTCTGATCCTACGTATAGATAATTATATAAAAATTTCAAAATTCTTAAATTTCAAATACATACAAAAACAATCATATGTAAATTTTAAATTTGTCAATACTAAATTTTTATATTTTAATTACATATATTCACCCTGCGCAAGGCGCAGGTCTTATCCTAGTGCTCAATTATTTAGAAAACTAATTAATAAGACTTTGAACGGAGAGGTTCACTTGGGAGACTTTGGGGAGATGTTTATAAGCAGGTCCTTGGTGAAGCAAGGTAATGGTGTCCGAGTCATCTCACATTCTTGGACCACCGAGAAATCGTAAGTGGTCACAAGATGGTGAAGGAAGACTGTCATTTGAAGCCTCGCAAAATCTGCTCCTACACACTGTCTTGTTCCACCTCCAAACACCATCAAAGTTTTAGTCACTGACCGCAAATCTTTCCCCTGCCACACAAATCTCTACTATATGATTCTTTGCTAATGGTGTGTATTGAAAATGTTACATTAATTATATAACATACCTCCCATCTCCAGGGATTGAACTCCAACGGATTCTCATAGATTTCAGAGTTATAGTGAACCACAGATGGTGCAACGGCCACGATCCATCCCGCTGGAATTGTATATCCTGTTGACATGTATAATTTACCCATATAACTTCTAATCAATAATTTTAGAGACTGGATTATACGTTGTTATAGGAGTACTAGTAACTCGCCTTTGATTTCGACATCTTTCAGGGCCTTTCTGAATAATATGGAACCCAAGTTTGACAACCGAAGCGACTCATTGATAACCTACACACACATTACGTACTGTGAGAAATCATGCGGATAAATTTTAAAGGTAGCTACGGAATGTTTACCATGTTGGTGAAAGTCATGTTGTATTTATATTCTTCCCAGCTAAGTCCAGCTTCCTTATCTTCTCTCTTTTGTAAGATCGCATCATGCTCTCTCTGGTTATATAGATGAGCGTAGCAATTCAAGCAGAGAGTTACGCTGTGAATATTTTTAGTTTTCGATTGGTTTTTGGTTTTAGCTTTGGTTTTGGAAATCAATTTTTACACCCAGTAAAGAATTTGAAGAAACAAGTTTTACTTAGAGACTAGAAACTATACTCTTTTAAGTTGTTACCCATTTATTGTATGATTTCTCCAAAACCGTAAATATCGTCCTTTTCAATATATTTACCCAAAATTAATCCAAGAAGCAAATATTAAAAGCAAATATAAAAAAAAGCCAATAACATCCATGCATGGCCCTATCTTCTCAAGTTAAAAAATATTACCTTCAACTCTGCAATCACATTTGGGTTTTTGGATAGCAAGTTCACCATCAAGGCAGTAGCGACAGAAGTAGTATCTTTAGAGACGACTCCAATAACTAAGAGAAGGTTTATAACAGACGCCTCGTCGTAAATGCTGTCTTCTTTCTCCATGTCCTCTAGTAACGTGTCTAGGAAGTCTCCGTGATTTTCTCTTGACTCTTTTCTCTTCTTGAGAGCGTCCTTTATCACCTGCATTGCTTCTCTGCGTGCCTAGATAAAACAATAAGTGGGTGAGTTAACTTAGTAGTTACTAACATAGAAAATTCAGAGGAATGGTGTCACCTTAAGGACTTTGTAGATAATCTTCCAGGTGGAGGGAGCAAAGGGTGACCTAAACCAATCAATATTAAAGGCCTTGAAATAGTCTATAAGTTCTGCTTGAGTCCCTGGTTTGAGGTTACATATCAGCTTCGGTGTCATGTAGGATGCTATCAACTACAAAAGGGAAGAATTTTACCTTTTTTAAAACTGAATATTGGTACAAAGAAAAACATGTAAGTTAAGGTTTTTTTTTGGCACAAAAAAACATGTAAGTTGTGTATTTACACTTGAAACTGCATCCCTAAGGTCGAATATGCCTTCGCTAGCCTTCCATTTAAGATGCTCGCTGGTCGCCTGGTTCATGCTTCGTATCATATTTCTCTTTAAACCTTCAGAGCCAATAAGCTGCATAGTGGTTTTTTTTAATATGCTTGTGGATGTTCCCGGTCTTGAAAAACAAATTATCTTTTCCAAGAACTCTGACAAAAACATCAGGATAGCTAAGTTCAAAAGACTCGTTCTCTTGCCGGAATATCTCGAAGATAACATCTGAGTCCGTAGAAATCACAGTTTTTGAACCCATGATATTGGTCCGAAACAACGACCCATACCTATAAAATTCATGCAAATACAATTATCGTAGATTTAAACAACATTTCCTCTCGGCTAAAAAAGACTCTATATATATATATATATACTAGGATAAGACCTGCGCCTTGCGCAGGGTGAATATATGTAATTAAAATATAAAATTTTAATATTCACAAATTTAAAATTTACATATGATTGTTTTTGTATGTATTTGAAATTTTAGAATTTTGGAATTTTATATAATTATCTATACGTATGATCAAAAACAATTTTAATTAGAAATGTAAATCAAATCTTAGAATTTAATGGATCTGATTTCATATATCTTTTTACTTTTCAGTGTTCGAGTGATGGAAAATAAATGAAGTGTCACTGGGCTTGATTGGTAGAGTATAGCAAGTTCCCTAATGTTTTTAAAGAAGCAATTGGTAAAATATTTGCAATTAAAATATATAAAGTTTCTAAACTAATTTAATATAATTTATTTATTTGTCTAATAATATTAGAAAATTATATTTTTTTAAAATTATATTTTTTAAAAATAATTTTCTAAAAAATTATGTT